CAAATTAACAGGGATGTTATGGGTCTGTGTCTGTTTCCGTTTCTGCCTCTTCCTGTTTCCGTCTTTGCTGCCGCCCCTTTCCGGCACGCAGCTGCATTGCATACATGAGAAGGTGAGTTACATGCTTACTGTTCTTTGATTGGTGAGTATTGTAAGCCTTTGCAAGCTTAGTCATCATTTGTGTGTTGCGACGAGGGAAGCGAGGAGGGTCACGTGCGTAGAGACGCCGCCTTGTCTCCTAGTGTGCTGCTCTCACGCTCCTCCCCAACTCAGCTAAATCGGCAAGAAGAACGAGAGAGGAGAATTAGTTTCTGCTTCTTATGTTGCACTCGCTCCCTCTTCCGCTGCTGCAGAATGCAGTAGCTCTCTTTCCACAGTTTACATGCGGCAGTTGTTGAGCCCCTGCAGAGCGGCGCCTTATAGGCACTCGCTAAGGCGCTGGGCTCCTCGTCGCTGCAACACACGCAGCCCCAGCAGGTGCGCCACAGTAGCAGCAGCAACACTAGCAGGAGCAGCTGCAACAGCAGTGCGAATCCTGGTCGCAACAGGCCCACGATGGCCCTCGATTGCTAGGAATTATGCCGATGCTGCTTATGTGCAGGCTGCTAGAAACACCTGTGTACAGCAGCAACGGCAGCATAATCCATAGCAGCAGCAAATGTGAAAGCGTAGTGACAGTAACAGGTTTAGCAATACTGTCCTACAGGGGCTGGAGGACCGTCTTTGCTGCATTGTATGCAAACTCCGCGACAGTGCCTCTGAGTTTGGCTGTGCTGGTGCTATCATTGCTGCTGCATCGTCGCAGCAGCCACAGCCACAGGAGTACCAGCTTGCCAATCACCCACTTTAGCAGGTAAAGAATCATAGTACACAGGAGGCAGGAGGTAGGAAAAGAGGCAACCAAAGACGCAACAGCAGGAGCAGCCAGAAGCAGCAACAGCCGCAGCATACACAGCATGTCTCTTTATTGTAGACGTTATTCTTTCTGCAGGCGGCTGTAGAGCTGAAGTCGGTTAGACAGACGGCTTAGTTGAAGCAGCAGCAAACACTTTGCAGTCACCGTTTGCTTTCTTTGCTTTTCCTCAACGTAACATCTAAACAATATGGCATGAAACATAAACTCTAAGCCATTTGCCCTGACCATTTGTCCTATTTATTTCTCAACTCAGACGTTCCATCCAACTTGGAGAGAAATCCCTGGAGAACATAACTCTACTACTACATTCAACCCTTCATTCTTCAACCCTACAACCCAGATCACGGGCTTGCCTTTGAGACGCACATCTGCCAGTAGGTCGAGTCCACCACAGCACAACCCTACGGGCTGTTGTTTTTCTGTAAGAGACAGAAGCAGTAGGGGCTGCATCTGCAGGAACTGCTGCTGCTTGTGCTCTGGGAAGTTCTCGAGCATGCCGCCACAACAGTGCTTTGCTTCTATCAAGGTGCGTGCTTGCCTCTCTTGCTTTTGTTGCCGCTGCTGTCACTGCAGTTTGGGGGATGACTTTTATGGCTGGCTCTGCAGACAGGCAGTGGCAGCAACGGAGGCATCGGCGGTGTTGACAGCAGCAACAGCAGTAGCCGCAGGAGCAGCATTAGCGGACGTTTTGGGGTACCTCCCATCAGTTAGGCAAATATTAGAAGCAACCGGAGGAGCAGCAGGACCAGGAAACACACCAAACGCCCCAGCAATTGCAGCAGTATCACCCGAAGAAGAGGTAGCAACAGGAGCAAAGGAAGCTGCAGCAGGATCAGATCTCTTCGGCTAGGACAACGACGCGAGTTTCGACCCCTCGATGGCAAGTGAAGAGGATCTGTTCGGCAGTGAGATGTCTCCAGTTGCCTCCGCTGGAGAGATAACAACAGCAGTAGCAGGAGTAAGAGCGGCATGCCAATCGGGCACGATCAGCTGCAATGTGCGCTCTGATCCAATTTCGACCTTCACCGTAAAGCTGGAACTGTGAACCCTAAAGCTTCAGACCTCAAGTCTAAACCCTAGTCTAATTAATTTTACAAGATAAGAATTGCAGAAACGCATGTGAGCTGCACAAACACCACCGCCTCAGCCTGCACTTCACAGTGCTTGAGCAAATGAGCCAATGCAATCGTCTCCTGCAGTCTCGTCACGGCCTGTTACCGGGGCTGTCGCCTCCCCTTAAGTTCGCTATTGTGTCGTTGCCATCTTCGGTGTTATCTGTCGTTTTAATTGAAATTAGTGTCGCAGTGGGAGCGCACCTCCCTGTTTCTGCTGCCCCTTTAATGCTGAACGGAGGAATGAATGCAGTTTTGCTGCTGTGGCAGCCGCGGTTCGGTCGCTCTATTAGTAGTTCGGTGCCACTGGTAGTTGAAAGGGTGTTTCCTTGAGGCCTTTAACAAAATCCATCAAATAAGTTGTTACCCTCATACATGTTTTGACGAGGCAGCACGAAGGAGAGAATGTTGCTGCCCGCCTTGCGGTGCCTGCTGCTGCTGCCGCTGCTGCTGCTGCTGCAGTTTGCTTCAGAACCCCAGGGCTCTTCTGGCACCTTGTTGGGGGATGCTCTTAGCAATCATGCACAGCTGCTGGAGGGAGCTGTCTGGACAGGAAGTGGCGGAACCGGTATTGCTGCAGAAGGCCCCGACAATCGTCCTCAAGACACAACGGGAGAGGTGGGGTACGCTGTTGCTGAGAATGAGGAGATGCAGAGATTCGAGGAGTTGAAGGAGCAGAAGGAGCGGCTGGTTGAGTCCTTGATGTTCCCAATTAGGTTGATGGTGGTTTTGCTGAGCTGGTATTTGCTCGCCCATATTTTCATCGTGATTCCGGCCGTAGAAAAGCAGAGGGATGAAGCGTGTCAACAGAACGATGTTCCTGTACCAAAGGACGAAGCATATAAGCGCCTTTTTGGACTGCCTACTGGCGCAGCCGACGTCGTTTTTGTCTTCGCAACCCTCATTGGGTATCTCTTGTGGATGTTAGGGGTGGCCATACTACGAGCTCCATTAAACCCTTATAGCCGCTTCAAAATTCGCAGCCTCCTCCAGCAGCTCGTGCAAGCGGTCGGTAATGAGAAGCAAGTCCATCCGGAAGATCCCCAGCGGGAGCCGCCTCAGTGGGAGCAGCCGCTGCAGGAGCAGCCGGAAAACGAAGTTGATGCTGCGTCCACCGATAGAAGCCGCTGAGCGCTGTAGGTAGATACCCAGCCGAAGGCCCCACAACCTTTTTCTACACCGCCAGATGGCTGCTGCACACTTGAGCTGGAGGCAATGCTGCTAGATAGTGACAAAACTAGGTGCCCTACCTAGCCATTGCGACTGTTTGTCGAAGGGGGCGCAGATGTTACTTCTTGTTACTGTTGTTAACGTTTTTTGTTGTTATTCTGCACATAAAGGTAAGGATATACACGCCAAAGGATTTGGCACCTATGAGCGTTGGCTGTGTACAAATGATGAGCGTTAGTGCTTGAAGGGAAAAGCATAAACGAACTTGTGTATGTGTTTGGGAAGTGGACGTAGAGGGGACGTCTGGATGAGATGATCCCCAGGAAAATCGCCCTGGGCATCGCTTATTCTTTAGTATGCGCCTGGCAGGTGCTGAAGCTGCAGGAGCAGCAGCAGCTTGAGTAACAATGCAAACGCGGGAAACGACTATTTGATATGATAGACGATCTGCAGGTCTTGTAGAGGCAGTTGCTGAGTGTTGAGAAGCTTAGTGTTAGTTTAGCTACCTAACGCGTCACGTTTCTGGCTAGGTGGTAGTTCGTTTGCTGGTTGTCTAGTCATTCCAGCGTTTGTCAGCTGTGGAAAACGGTCATCAGTTCATGGTGTTGCTAGTGAGAATGACCGTCACCTTGGAGGCGGCAGGTGGAGATTTAGCTTGCCTGCTGGTGATTCAGCTCGCTAGGTTGCTAGACAGCGAGACACTTGTCTAGCCAACCATATATCTAGGTTGCTAACCAACAAGTCAGCTAGCTAGGTTGGTAGCCAGCCATCTAGCTAGCCAGTTAGCAAGGGGTGGGAATTGGTCCGTCTGAAACATAGTGATTGAGGCTGGGTTTGTCATTTTGTTCGAAGTAGCATGCAGAAAGTAGGCAGATTGAGAAGTTCTCATTACATCTGTATTTGTGTCAGTGTGGCGTGGTGTGTGTGATCTTCTGTTTGTTTCTGGCATTGGAACTGTCTTGCAAATTAACAGGGATGTTATGGGTCTGTGTCTGTTTCCGTTTCTGCCTCTTCCTGTTTCCGTCTTTGCTGCCGCCCCTTTCCGGCACGCAGCTGCATTGCATACATGCGAAGGTGAGTTACATGCTTACTGTTCTTTGATTGGTGAGTATTGTAAGCCTTTGCAAGCTTAGTCATCATTTGTGTGTTGCGACGAGGGAAGCGAGGAGGGTCACGTGCGTAGAGACGCCGCCTTC